GAACCAGAGGAATCCAAACAGCAGCAAGGCTCAGCACAGAAAGCAGACTCAGAGAGGCCCAGGAATGTTGCATTGCACAGACAGCCTGGTCTCCTGGCCCTGATATCCTCTGGAAGCTCCCAGAGCAGGTTATGGCCACTGGATCACAGCACCAATTCCTGTGGGAGCTGCTGCTCCTGCCAGGCCTCAGCACAGCACGCGAGGAACTGCAGAGCCTGGAGCATCACTCATCTTCACAAGAGAAACACTGGCCAAATGCTGCCTCCAGCCCTTAAAAATTGGAATTTTGGAAGGCAGCTTCAGCCAGGCCCAGGTACATGACTGCTTGTATGAAAACAGAGGGCACAAACCCAATCTTGTGCCTTACACTGTGTCACCAAAGCCCACAGAAACACTCACCCCAAATCAAACTGCCTGTCTGAGACATAAATTTTTTTTCCAACCCCCCAAGTCTGCCAGCCTGCAGGAGTGAACAAGCTGAAGCCACCCTGGGTACCTGGGTTCATCAGGGATGTGTTAAATTACACCACAAACTCCATCCCCGTGCCAAGGGCCTACTCCATCCCCTGCACCAATTCCTGTGGGAGCTGGTGCTCCTGCCAGGCCTCAGCACAGCACAGGAGCTGCAGGGATGTGCAGCCCCCAGAGCCTGGAGTATCACTCATCTTTACAAGAGAAACACTGGCCAAATTCTGGCTCAGGCCCTTAAAAATTGGAATTTTGGAAGGCAGCTTCAGCCAGGCCCAGGTACATGGGCTTGTTTGGTGGGTAATGCCTTATAAAAACAGAGGGCACAAACCCAATCTTGTGTCTTACACTGTGTCACCAAAGCCCACAGAAACACTCACACTGCCTGTCTGAGACTTGAATTTTGTTTCTAACTCCCCCAATCTGCCAGCCTGCTCTGTGAACAAGCTGAAGCCACCCTGAGTTCATCAGGGATGTGTTGAATTACACCACAAACTCCATCCCCGTGCCAAGCAGCACACACACAAAGCTGTGAAAGGACACAAGTGCCTCCCAGTTAATGTCACCTTCACAGCTTCCATAGGTCACAGCACAAGCAGACACCACTACAAGATGCCAGGCAGAACACTCTGAACAATGCCACGGGCCCGGGGAGAGATGAGGAATTTAAGGGATGCAGAACAACAGGAAATAAGGAAAGTCCCTCCAGCAAAGGTCCTGTGGCCCATCAGTGGCTGCTCAGCACTGCAGTGACACAATGGAGTGACTGAATGAATGGCCAGCATTCCCAAGGCCATTGTTGGCAGCACGGGAAGGACACAGATACAAACAAGAGCTGTGTTCCCAGGCAAATGAAATGACATCCACTGCAAATGAAATTACTTCCTGGAGCTCCCTGCATGCACCATGCCATCCTAGCTGGGAAATCATATCCTGAGGCAGGAAAAGCTGTGCCAGGAGGGGATAAAGAATGAAGCAACCTGCAGGAGCACAGGCTGGGTTTTTGCCTGTGGTGGCAAAACTGGATCAACATTAATTATGTTGCCTATGCGCTGGACCAACATTAATTATGAAGATAGATGGAACTTGAGCATCACTGCAAGGAAGGAGTTCCCCTTCAGAGAGTCTTTGTCTGGCCAAAGGGATATATGGGAGAAGTAGAGGATGAATCCCAACCAAATGTGATCTCAGCAGAAGAGCATTGAGTCACAAGTGTCAACAGAAGAGATTCTAGAAGTCACAAGGCCTGGAGAAAGAAGAGGGATAATTTTATAGTCTCTTTGCTGGCAATAAAGCCCCTGTAAGATGCCAGAGGAAACTGCTAGAAGCACCAGCTCTGGTGAGGAAAGGAGAAGCTGAACTGCCCTGGGCAGCAGGGTGGGATCCATGCTGGATAAAGAATGGCCATGCAGTAGAGGACACCAACAAGGGCAGCCCAGGGGATCCATGTGGTGCTTTAGCTCTCAAAACAGCTCCTCAGGGATTCAGAGCAGGGCGTTCCGGGCTAATCCCTGCATCCCTCAGGGAACCTGAGGATTACTGCTCTACATCTGCTCCTAGGGCTGGGCCCCACCTTGGCCAGGCAGTGGAAGTGCTGACAGCCACTCTCAGCTCTTTAATCGCTTTGGGACAAGCAGCAATGGGCTCTGTCCCCTGTGGGGCAGCACCTTGGGGCATTCACATTCTCTGAAAAATCCCTTCGCCCAGGGTTTTCCTCCTGGGAAGCTGAGAAGCCTCAGAGAAAAGGAAAACAATTCTTATCTCAATTGTTTCTCCTGTGTTGTGCTCACGTGGAATGGGTTTGGAGATTGTTTACCCACAGGTGATTGTTCCATTGGATTCTGGTGTGAGTTGTTTTGACTCATTGGCCAATCCATGCTAAGGTGTGTCGGGACTCTGGAAAGAGTCACAATTTTTCATTATTATCTTTTTAGCATTCAGCAAGTATCCTTTCTGTATTCTTTAGTATAGTATAGTATTCTTTAATATAATATATTATTATAAAATAATAAATTAGCCTTCTGAGAACATGGAGTCAGATGCATCATTCCTCCCTGCCATGGGGAACCCTCCAAATACAACAGCACCTATAAGCCTCTAATGGCTTTTCTTGACTTTTGGTTGGGGCAGGAATGGCCCTCAGATTTTGTCTGGCAGCAGCTTCAGAGCTACAGTGCAGCTTCCCTGCTGTAGTGGTTTTGGTTTGTTAATTTGAGATTTTGTTAATTTTGAGATTTCTCGGTTAAGGTACTAAAGAGAGTGGTGGGTTCGGTGTTGGGTAATTATTAATGTATTTATTTTTTGTTGTGAGATGGGATTAGGAGAAAGGTAAAGTAGGTTTCAAACTTTAAAAGGGTATAAAGAAAAATGTATTAATTATCTCAGACCTGTGATAACTCCGTCAACATCCCAGCATAAAGAGCTGCAAAAACCTGGGGTTTGTGCTGTTAGCTATGCACCAAGATCACCTGCTTGCTTCTCTCCCTCCTGCACTCGCCTGCCGGAGCTGGGGCACTGGTCCTTCCTCCTCCCTTTCAGACTAGGGATGCTGGTTTGGGATCAGCCCTGGTTGTCCCAGTCCCGGGCAGTCAGCCCCATCTGCTGGCTGCTAGGGAAATACGGGAAGCTGCAGGCGAAATTTAGGTTGGATTTTAGGAAAAAGTTTTTTGTTGAAAGAGTGATAAATACTGGAATGGTCTGCGCTGGGAGGTGGTGGAGTCACTATCCATGGATGTGTTTAAAAAAGGATTGGTTGTGGCATTCAGTGCCATGGTTTAATTGAGGTGGTGATAGGGCATGGGTCAGACTCAATGATCTTAAAGGTCTCTTCCAAGCCAGTGATTCTGTGATTCTCCAGTAATGGACAGCCCTGCTTTTAACCAGTCTTCTCCCTACCCTCTGTTGAAGCCACAAGTTACAGGGCCGACCCAAATATGATGAATCTGACTCCATTCTTCTGTTGAAGCCACAAGTCACAGAGCTGACCCAAATAATTTAAATTATTCGCATTTACAAATAGGGAGTGTTAAATTGAAAAACATTTTATTAAAAAATGTTACAAATAGGACAACTCACATTTACAAATAGGGAGTGTTAAATTGAAAAACATTTTATTAAAAAAATGTTACAAATAGGACAATACATATCAGGTTAAATGAGAGATTTTTAATTTATAATCATAACTTAAACATAAATTAAAAGAGTCTAATTTGAAGACTTTTAACAGCTAACAAAAATCATATCTTCAATACATAAACATACAAATCTCAATCTTCCATTTCATTCGTAAACATTATGCAGTCATGCAATCCTTACAAACACTTCCCATTTAGTTTCAAATAAATTCTGATCAACAGTCAGAGACCTACTCAAGAACAAGTATTTCACAATACATGTACAGTTAAGAGCACAGAAATATCCACAATAAAAACTGCTCAAATAAATACATATGTATATACACATATTACAGTACAGAATCCCACAGGGATGAGATAATTTCAGATCTACCTGCTGTGTTCAGAAACCAGAGTACCCTGTGTAAGCACCATGGTTCCTAGTGCTGTTATATTTAAAAAAAAAAAAAGGCATCTAAGTTTTCTGGGATATACAGCAAAAATCCAAATAATTTCCCATATCACTGCAGGCATATCTATTGACTGGGATATAAAAATATAAACTGACTTTCACAAACCAGATCAATAGTTTCAAAGTTGTTCAGTGAATATTTTTCCATCCTGATTCTTCTGTTTCTGCAGGCATAACCCCTGTGACTCCAGAGGAGACACCTGCAGCAGAGTAGTAAGTGATGTGAAATAATGCATTTCTTCACCTCACCTTGGTACCTTTGAGTGGAGCAGAGGAGGAACCAGCCTCCTCTTTGGGCAGCAGTTCTCTGCTTACTCACCACCTGCACAGGAGATGGCAAGCTCCCAGTTCAGGATAAATACATGGCTGAATGGAGGCAGGATTTGGCCTCAAGGCCAGAGTTCTCTGTTTGTCTTCAATGGAAATACCAGACAGCTTGAGCTCAAGATTTCTGAATCACACACAAGGTCAATCTTCTTGTCGGCAAAAGGTAAAAGCATCTGGACAACTGCTGATTTGCAAGGCAGTTTCATTCTCCAGAAATCTGAGATGTAAGTGAAGGTGGCTGCAATTCCTGTGGAGAGAACAAAATTCCTCCATAAATCAGAAAACTGGCAGAGATTTGTATTTGCTCTCATCTCAGAGGAATTTTGTATGCAGCAGGTAGCAGAGCTGCACAAAAGTGTTCCTAATACCATTTGCAGCTGGACAGAATGCTGAGCACAATCATCCTTCAGGAGCTGAACAACCATTTTTACAGCAGTAAATCCATCAGTCTTGTTAGGAACTGCCATGCAATGCCAAGATGCATATTAGGTGTCCCAAAGCACACATTGCTGTGTCAGCAACTGTACAGCAATTAGCAGCTCTGATTGATTGCTTGTGTGATTAAAAGGAGGAGAATTTGTGAGTGAAGCCATCACATGTGCTTACCTGAAGCACCTGGGTTAGACATTCTCGCCAGCACTTTGGAAGCTACCCTCACTGGCTGTTTCCTGCCAGTCCCTATAAAACAAAAAAGTGAAAAGTACTTTAGTGACAACAGGTTTTTATCAAATGGATTTTAGCAAGGTGATGGCAGGGGTTTTTTTCATGTTGCTTTTTTGAGACACAACTTACCTGAAAGGAATAAACTTCTTTGCTGCAAGAAGAATAAGAAAATATATTAGCATTTCAAGACAAAAGCCCTAATTTTTATTGTCTAAATATTTGGGGTTTGCTATTTTTTTTCCTTTTCCAGATGTCCATCCCAAAGCCAAACATGGCATACACAGCAGGTTCTTGAAAATAATTTTGGAATTTATATCCAGGTATGGGAATTGCTACTTTTTCAAGAAGAAAGGTATAGAGCTTTTGTGGTTTGGAACTGGGTTTTTTCCTCCACAGAAAACTTTTCAGGAGGATAAATAAAGCAGAGCAGGTGCTCACCTTTTCTCCGGAAGCGCCTTGCGAGCCAAAGGAGGAATGATGCTGTGGACAGCAGAGAGGCAGAGGTGGCTGCTATGCCCACAGAGATGTAGCTGGCTTGGTCAGAAGCTGAAAGGATGAAAAGATTTCAGTGAGATCAAGGTGGTCTTTGAAGCCCTCTCTCCTTCCCTTTCCTCATGCTCTTCAAGAGGAACCAGAAGTGCAACTGGTAAACGCTTGAATTTTTGCTTGCTGAAACAGGATTGTTCCTGTACACAAGGTAAAAAGCTGAATACTAAAAATTACCCCATCCATTGCCACAGTAATGGCAAGGCAAGAAGCTCCCTACACCAGGGTCTGTCTCTAACCTCCAGCCTTGCATAGCAATTTGTGCTCCCCTTATTTTTCCTGTTGCACTGCATATTTTAACTCCCTCTGTGCTAGCTTCCTATTTGAGCAATCCTGCTGAGATCAATGAAATTCTTCAAGGATCTAAATTCTGCTCAAGCAAATGAAAGTGGGATTGAGCTTTTAGGACCTCCAGCAAAAGCATTCCAGGCAGGCCAGGGGTGTTCCAGCTGAGGGCAGTGACAGAGCTCTTACTGCCTGAATGAGAGGTCAAGGCTGAGCTTCTGTCCTTTGAAATTGCAGCCTCTGAGAGAAAAGCTCTGGGAGGTCTTTAGGCTGAGGAGTCCATCCAAGAAACTATCACACCAAATCAAAAAACCTATAAAATTTTCCTACTGAGAACCAGACTTAGGAGTGCAGGTTTCCCCACAAGGTTCTGCTTGTCTAGAAAAGCTTTTGTCTCTATTCACATGGAAAAAATTCATGGTGAGAAATGTTTTGTTTAAAAACCGAACAGAAAGAACTGAAATCTGGTTGCAGGGGGTTTTTATATTTAAGAAATCAATATTTTCCACAAAGATCTTTTAGGATTTTTCCCCTCTTCTATTTTCAAGCATGAGTGATTTTGTTGGGCTTTTGAATTAATGGAGTTCTCTACATGTTCTAACTCACTGGTTGCTATTACCACCTGTACCACCCTTGCAGGCCTCATCTGACTAAAAATACAGTGCCACCTCCCCCTGGCTGCTCACAGGCAAAATACCTTCACATGTGGGCAGGCTGGCACTCCAGTTTCCTGAGGGGCTGCACTCCAAAACACGAGAGCCATTGAGACTCCATCCTTCCAGGCAGCTGAAGTGGCAGGAGGTGTTGTAGGTGAACATCCCAGCCCCGTGGGAGCAGTCCATGGAGCCTTTCTCAGGAGAGCTCAGTGCTTCACACTGTATGACTGAAACACAAAAAGATTTGGTTATTCCTGCTGTTTGTCACCCTGCACTGCTGTTTCCTCACGAGGATAAATGACCCCACCTTGAGATCTGCTTAGGAACAGGGCTGGGGATGAATGCCACTCTTGGATTACATCTGACTGAGAAAGGAAATTACCTGCACACTGTGGCTGCTGCCTGTCCCAGGCCCCTGCAGAGCCACACTGCAGGGTAGCTGCTCCTGTCAGGGTAA